TATAGATGGATACAAGCAAAAGACTGCAAATAAGTCCACACATAAAGGCGAGTAATGTGTGCCTTAAATCAATGCGGACATCACCTCAACTTTGCCAAACGTTTAAGGGCCTGGTGAAGTTGCACCTATAACATTTAATGCAACAGTCTGAAAGTCTAATTGTGCTCAGTGGCTGCAGCCGGAGGAGTCCTGAATTATAGTAAGTGACAGCAGCCTCCCTTGGCTCCACGCCACACATAAAGTCAATTTAAAGACTTCTGCAAAGGCAAAGCATAATCCCTGAACCTGCATATTCTCACATTCTTATGCACATAATTTAAATTATGAATATGTAATTAATACCTATTTTAATCGCAACTGTGTGATTTACGGCCTGTTCATTCCTCCACTGTGCGGCTATTAGTGAAATGGATCCTTGCTGGAAAGATACATTCACCTGTATGAAATTAGAAACATTGAGGCAATCGTCAGGAATGTAATTAGTTTAGTTTAGTTTAATTTGTAATGCAGATTAAAGATAACTGCAGAAAACGCCTGTAATAAAATCCATGTACTTGTAGTTTCTCGCTTTCAAAAATTTTTGGTTCTGTCTATAATTGAGCATGTGTTTTCGGGCTCTGTCACTGTCACATTTATCTTTTTTCGGACAGAAAAGAGAAGAAGAGAGGACCACCCTCACTCAGCCAAGTAAATATAGTCAAATGTTATAGTAAAAAGTGCTTTCGATAAGATGAAGACAGCAGGCTGTGGTCTGTCTCTTTCTGTTCTGAAACAAATATTATATTCGTTAAAAAGTCAGGTTCCCCAAATGTAGGGTTATTTTTATCTAAAATGTATAAAATACAAATGTTGTTGTGTCCTTGGGCAAGACACTTAACCCCACTTTGCCTGAAGCCCCCGCTGAAAGATCAAGGCTCCTGTGGACTCACCACCTGCAGGAGGATCAGTGAGGGGCTAGTGCTCTGTGTACTGGGTGCAGCTCTGACTGCCACCCCCGACACAGAAATGGATTAAGGGGAAGAAAATGGATGGATGGATGTATGTATAAACTACATGATTATACATCTCAATCAATATGGAGTCAGTTTGCTGGGAGACGTATGATAAAGTGAGCACTATCCTCTCCTCTCTTTTCACTGTAGTCTGTTCATTGCTATTCACCCCTGGTCTGTTACATGGCGTGACGATGGGACCCCTGAACCCGGCCCTCTCCATCTGCACCCCCTCCGTACCTGGATGGCGGGGAGGGGATGGATAATTGAGTTTATCAAATTTCCAGCATTCCACAATAGCGAATATGTCTTGAGTCCACAACTAATTTATAAATGGGAGAAGCTGAAGGCAGAATGAGCGATTTTTCTTTTTTGAGGAAATCAATCTTTAAGTGCAAAATGATTTTTTTGTAAGCTTGATGAGTTTATGAACTTAATCCAAAAGTTCCTTGGCAGAAAGCTATAGCGAACTATGCGTCTGACAAAGCACTTTTAGCCACTGGCATTTGCATAGAGGAAATGCAATCCCATACTGTGATCCATTATTGCAACAATATTTCAAATGAGTGCATATTTACAGCATTTTAAATCGAGACGGATATTTAAATTCCTCTAATGACGATACAGTAAAATGTAAAACCATATGCTAATGTTTTATAAATGTGTGTTTTGGCCAATTAGAAAATCACATTATGCCAAAACGTATTCAACATGTCAAAACACATCATTTTTTGGCTTGCGCAGAATTTGCACATATCTGCTTTTTTGGAATGATGTCAAAAAACAAAATGGTTTCTCTGTCCAGTTTTTAATACTCCTGGCTCATTTCAGTTTTGGCCGTTTGCTCTTCCCTGGGGGGTCCAATTTGAGAAGGCCACATATCACAGCGTCACAATCAATACACAGCACGACCTTAAAAGTCCCCGTTTACTTTTGCCTCTGTGTTTTAGTTCAAAGGGGCCGAAAAAAATGCTGTTTTTTGATTTTTGATTTTGAGTGACAGTTTGATGTCTTTGTTTGCAAGGTAGACCCACTGATGCTGCTGTGAAATACATGTGAATACAACAAAAACTGTCGGGGCTTACATGAAAAGAGGTGTCAGTCAGATTGTGGAGGGAAAATGCTTTCACTTAAAACGGAAAAGCTTGTATTGTAAAATGAATGGCAGGATGTGGCGCTGAATGGGATGAGACGCATTCAAATGAACCCGCAGAGACGCCGGTATCTCTTTTGGTTTCCCGTAAATGTTTGCAATAAGAGGAAAATGCCATTGATACACGGATACATGGATACTTACGGGAAAGTGGTGTCAAGGTGTATGTTTTAACTCCACAAATGTAGAAAATGAAAAGCATTCTTTCACAGCATGGATTTGACCTTTTGTAGCTGTTGTAATTTGTAGCACCGAGTGTAGCGGCAAGCGTTTCAGTTTGGTGGAAGGATGTACGAGAATGAGTCAGCCATCATCAAGGCAACGGTGGCGGTAGTTTGGAGAAGGTTTGTTCGCACGACTGATTTTTATGGTTTTATTCAGTCCTCAAGATAAAGCGAATTTTTAATATAAAGATTTAAAGATATAAAGCGGTCAATTTGACAGCTTTTTGTTTTGGGACTGACATTACTCCATTCATGCACATTTTCAATCTTAAATAACTTTTTTTCTGTATCTGTATGTAGTTTATTATTATGTCATTTTTTAATAAATTATATTATATTTTTGAAATATGATTACTACCATTACCTCCTATAGAGAAGATCCAGTTACCAAAGCAACACACTGTTTACTGTCAGCAGTTAGCATTAAGCTAAGAGTAAAGGTAAATACCTTGTATATTACTGCAAACGAAAACATTTCAGGGGAATTTCTCAGAATTCCATATTTTGAATGAGAGCAGATAAAATGACTACTTTGGGAGATCAAGAAGTTTCAGAATTCTGGGAGTCCTAGTGTTAAATGTGTTGCAGCAGTTTGTGGAGAGGAGTTAAACCTGGGTTCCTGAGCTGTCATTCCACAAAATATTGAACTTTAATGAAAAATCATCCTCCTTCCTCGCTCTCAAAACAGTTTTTTTTCTGTCACTAGTTTTTACAGTTAGTAATTTTTACATGTATTGGTCTCATGCAAAAACTACTGACTAAAGAGCCATGCACAGAGCTGTAAGAACACAAGACAATATATTCTCTAATAATGATGAAGGCATGTGGGATGTTCTGATTCAACACAATGCATTATTCAGAGGAATGTCAGGTCCCCGAGCTTTAAAAACAATAATGGGGTATTTATACAGGATTTACATGTACCAGTTTCAGCATGATGATTGAACTAAACCAGGAAAACTGCACTGACAAATTATATTACAGGAAAGAACATTCCAGAGTTTATTTTTACCGTTTTCAAACAAAATGCATGCTTTCTCTTTTTCATTTGATAAACAATTTTATAGGTGAAAGGAGTTTTTGCGCTGGTGAATTCTCTACGTCACCATTTTACAATCAGGAAATGTACGTATAAGCCAAACTAGTGATCTGGTTTTGTTAAATTTGAAGCAAAATCTAATAAATATTTTTGTATAATTATCCTAATTTCAAATTGGTCAGATTAGGGTTTTCTCAGACACTCCTGGTGCAAGTGCAGTTTATGAGGATCTGCTTTGTATCCGGAGCCCGGACTTGATCAGTAGCATGACTCGGGGCAAATGTGAAGGCGATATTTAGCATTTCCCTGTTGACTCCATGGCTTTTCCTCTGCATCTAAAACTCAAACTTCAGCAGTAAATCACTTTCTGTGCGGGGAAAACATTCCTGGTCTATTTCCCTGTGTGCAGGGATGCACACCCCGAAGGACCCCGCTCTTACAGGGTGAAGTGTCCCCTCATTCAAATGTGCGTCCGTTGCCTTGAGAGGCCAGAGCGGGGTGTCGCCCCCCAGACGTGCTGCGGGGGATCCCTTCATGGACGAAGGCAGGTGCTTTACTCAATACCACGGCTAAGTTATGTTTCGGTGGATTAAGTAAAACCAGACCGGACGCCTTATGTGCCATTCAAATCCTTCAACAGGAGCAGGAAAGAGAAGATGTCAATCATAAACACAATTGCCACACTTTTCTTTTGAAAAGAAAATCAATCAAAAAGTAGTCAACTTGTCATAATACACATCATTTTTTGGCTTTGCGCAGAAATTGTGCACATATCTGGCTTCTTTTGACTTGATGTCAAAAAATACTAAATGGCTTTCTCAGTCCATTTGTTATTACCCTGGCTCATTTCAGTTTGGCCGTTTGCGTCTTCCCTGGGGGTCCTATTTGTAGAAGGCCATCATATCACACGCGTCTCAATCAATACACAGCACACCTATTAGTCCACGTTTCCTTTTGCCCGTCTGCTGTTTTAAGTTTCAAAGGGGCCGAAAAAAATGCTGTTTTATATTTTTGATTTTGAGTGACAGGTTTGACGTCTTTGGTTTGCAAGGTAGAACCCACGGATTCCTGGCTGTGACATACATGTGAATACAACAAAAGACTGTCGGGGCTTACATGAAAAGATAGGTTCAGGCTGATTGTGAGGTATTATGCTTTCACTTAAAACGGAAAAGCTGTATTTGTAAAATGATGGGCATGATGTGGACGCTGAATGGGTGGGTAGTTGGTGAAGCGACATTCAAAGAACCGGGGCCTCAATGTTGACTGGGGGGTTGGGGGCCTTGGATCTCTTTATGGTATGTCCGCGGTTAAGAATTTTGTTGGTAGCAAAGGGGGGGAGGGGGGGCGTGAGGGGACAAATGTTGGCCCATGTGATGAACACGTATGTTACATGTGGATACGGGTTACGTGGAAAGTGGTGGACAAGTGATGGGTATTGTGTTAATTACACTCCACAAATGGGGTTAGAAAATGAAAAAAAGCAATCTTTGCACAGCAGTGGGGGGGGGTTTTTGTAAGTGGGGGGGGGTGGGGATAGATGTTTGTTGGGGTTAAGATTTATGGTTATATAAGGAGGGTGAAGCGCGGGCATGACGGTGTGGGCAGGTGGTAGTGTGGAGAGGTTGGTAAGTATGATTGATGAGGAAATGATGATTGGATGGCCGGTGGAGGTTGGGGGGGGTGTAAGGGGTTGGGGGGGAAGGAATAGGGGTAAGGGATTTGTTGTTTGGGTTGTATTGGTATGTTAAGATTTTGTTTGGGAGGTTTTGTTTGGTTTTTTTGGTTTGTTATTGTGTGTTTTGAGGGGGTGGATTTGGGTGTATGAGGGGGGGGGGGGGGGTTTAAGGGTATGGGTAGAAGGAATGGAATATGGGGATTTGAGGTTTGGAGGGGGGGTGGTGGGTTGGGTGGGTTTGGTGGTGGGGTATGGGGGGGTTGTTTGGTGTGGTGTGGGGGGGGGGGGTTTGTAGGTGGTTGTAATGGTAAGATGTGTTGTTTTTGGAATGGTATTTTGTTATTTTGGGTTTGGGATTTGGGTAGGGTTTGAGGTGGTGGTGGGGGGGTTTTGGGGGTTGTTGGGGGTTTTTGGTGTTTTGGGTTGGGTTTTGGGTGGTTTGTGGGATAATGTGGGGGGGAGGGGGGTGTGTGGTGGGTGGTGTGGGGGTGGGGGTGGAAGGGGTGGGGGAGGATGGGGGGGGGTGGGGTTATGGAAGTATGGTGGAAATAGTTGTGTTAGGGGTTGGGTTTTGAGAAGAAGGAAGAGAATAGATTTTATGGGGGGGGGAATAGTGGGGTATGGTGTTGGGTATGGGGTGGGGGGCTGCATCGCAATATCCGACTGACTAAAGAGCCATGAAGAGCCTGTAGACACAAGACAATATACGCTAATAAAGGATGAAGGCATGTGGGATTTGGTCGGAGTCAACACAATGCATTAGTGAGGTAAGTGCAGGGCCCCGAGCTTTAAAACAATAATGGGTTAGTTATACAGATTTAGGTACCAATTTCGCATGAGGATTGAACAAACAGAAAACTGCACTGACAAATTATATTACAGGAAAGAACATTCCAAGAGTTATTTTTACCGTATTCAACAAAATGCAGGCTTTCTCTTTTTGTTTCGATAAAATTTTATAGGTGAAAGGAGTTTTTGCGGCTGGTGAATTCTTAGTCATGGTACAAGCAAGGAAACTGGACGTAGAAGCACAACTAGTGATCTGGTTTTGTTTAAAATTTGAAGCAACATTCATAAATATTTTAGTATAATGATTAATTTCAAATGGGCAGATTAGGGTTTTTCTCAGACACTCTGGTGCAAGTGGGTTATGAGGAGCTGCTGGGTACCGGAAGCCGGATTGATCGTAGGCATGAGCGGGGCAAAGTGAAAGGCGTAGTTAGCATGTCCCTGGGGACTCCATGGCTTTTCCTGCATTAAAACTCTAACTTCAGCAGTAAATCCTTCTGTCGTGGGGAAAACATTCCTGGTCTTTTTCCTGTGTGCAGGGATGCACAGCCCCGAAGGACGCCCGCTCTCAGGGTGAAGTGTCCTCATTCAAATGTGCGTCCTTGCCCTTGAGAGGCAGCTGGTGTGTCCGCTCTGCAGACGCTGAGGGGGATCCTTCATGAAGAAGGCAGTGCTTTACTCATACACGGCTAAGTTATGTTTCGGTGGATTAAGTAAAACCAGACGGACTCTTTTTTGCCATTCAAATCCTTTCAACAGGAGCAGGAAAGAGAAGATGTCATATACAACACAATGCCACACTTTCTTTTGAAAAGCAATCAAATTTTGTTTTTTTTTATACATTATATTTTATTTGATTTTATAAGTAGTTGCCTTTACAAAGATAACAAGTAACTATTTTATATGTGTTGCTTTTCTTGCAGCTTCATGCTCCTTTTGTTCACTTTTGTCTTGCAGTTCACAAAAATATAGCGTCCTTTCACTTTCTGAACATTATTCTGAGGATTAGACAGTTTTTTTTTCCGTTTTTCTTTGAAACTTTCGATCTTCCAGGATGTTGGATTTCATCAGCACTTTTGGGGTAAACCCCACATGTTGTTTTACGTATCGGCTACATCAACTGTCATATTGACCACTGCACTTGTTTTTGGGAAGAAATAACTCCTGAGTTCTGTTTCTGATGGTGGAGAGTGAAACACGTCTGCACACACACCACACCCCCCCGACACAAATGGAGCTCAAGCATAAGACTGGAAGGTGAGTGTTGACGTTCCTCAGCCGGTTTAGGACCCTACCCCCTTCAATAAGCGTGAGGGGGGTCAGAAAGAAGACTATAGCTGGTGTCTATGGTCAGGGTTTTATAGACTGTTATATCACCAACTGTTTTTTTTAACAATTGTCCTTTCACATCCGAGGAAAACGTCACTGAAAATTTGACTTGAAATCTAAAAGGTCTCGGAGGAACTAAAGCCCAATGCAAAATCCAAAAGCCCTAATTTCTTGGCCAATCTTCTGACTATATTTGACCCGTAATAAAATTGAATTGAATTGATATGTGAGTTTGCAGTTCACACTGGTCCTGAATCATCACAGAATGTTTGATTTGTCTGGGAATAAAGAGGAATCCAGATTTAAACTGATCTTTCACATTTCCAAATTTGATACATTTTATGCACTAGCTCACAAATAATAAAAGAGTAACTCATAACCCTAACCAATCCAGTTCTCCCTGGTGTTCCCTCGACAGCTGATGTAGTTGTTCAAAGGGCTTTTTGGAGTTGTACTTAGTGGGAAAAAGTTTGAAACATATTTATTACATTTAAAGAAAAATGTTTATCTTGGGTGAACCTCTGTAGAAAAAATACCTTCCACAGGGGACACTGCTAACAGCCTCCAAACAAGAAGAATCCATAAATCCATACACTGGTATTACCAGGTCCCAGGTGCATTATGGACAATTAAATGATTCAGTAGTTTTCAAATCATTATTCAAGATTTGCAATTTATTTTATTTTACACCTTTCTCAGCACTCACAGAACGTCAACATTTTAGCTTAAAATGGACAGTGAGTTACAGTCAGAGTAAATAAGCCTTATAACATTATCTGCACTTAATATATTTCTTGTTTAGGAATGTATTGCAAAAACATTTGGAAAGAAAAATAAATTAGGCAGTAGCACAGATTGTATCCATAAAGCCAATGCCACATCGGCTCGAAATGTTACTGATAAGTGCTCTGAGTCATGTTTTAAAGGAAGACCTCCATTACTTCTTTTAGTGTTTTTTTTTTTTTTTTAGCAAACTGTTTCTGAAGCAATGAGAGCAATTCTAATTAAAATATTGCACGTTCCATGGGAAAAAGCCCTCATAACAAGCTTAAATTCATGTAAAAATGCTTGGCTTGAAAGGTTTTCTTCTATTAGTCAAATCATGTGTGAGGTTGTATGTTTTCTTTTGCCAAAATCATACGTGAGGCTTCCTCGTTAGTAACCGAAAACGAGATTAACGTGACCAAAGTTGAATAAATCTTCATTATCAGAGAGAGAATAAGCTTGGCTCTAAGTTGGACCTAAGGCAGGCTGTGTGAGCCGAGCCGTCTGAAAGCTCCCGTTTGTGGGATCGTGTGATTGGATTTGTCAGGGGAATCCTCCAATGGTTTAAATGTCATCTGGTCAATAAAAATGTCCGGAATCTTGTCACTTCCCATTTGCAGCAAGACAGAGGACGCTATTAAAAACTGAAACTAAAATTACCAGCGTGACATTTTCTCATTTGCTCGCTGTTGTTGCTCTTGTCAATTTACACTCTCTCTTCGGTGTCCATCTCGTACAGTAATTTAGACTTTGGTCGTTTGTGTGTGTTTTTTATGGAAGAACAAAGGCCGAAAATGTAAATCAGTCATGCAGTCCTGGCGTGAACCCAGAGCCAGATGGATTTTCAAAGGTTAAATTTAAATTAGACAGGGGCAGAACAACAAAAGACCTGTGCTGCCATTGCATTTCTCATTTCAAGAATTGTTTAACATATCTGGGAGGGCGCCAAGAGGTGTTCAACAAGGTTTGAATGTTGATTTTGGATATAATCTTCATTTACTCTCAATATCATTGACTTGTTTTACAGCAGTGAGAAACATCGGTCATCTCCCAGTTTGTACTAGTGAGCCTCAAGGTTTTGCCATGTGACTTTTTTGAGAAAACTTTTTCACAAAAAATAGATTAAGAGTTAAGATTTGCTTTATTTGCTCTATTTATCTCACAATTTACAAGTTCCTGTGTTCGTCCCACAGTGGGAAAATTTCAGTGTTGCATCACAAGTTACAGAACAGTAGGAATGAAGAGCACACAGCACAAGATAAACACAGCACAAGATAAATAACAATACTAATTCAGATAAAATCAAATATCTAATTCAAGCATCAAAGAAACAAGTATAACATCTTTATCTTTGACATTATAAATAAGTATAAAATTGCTACATTTGGAAAAAATAGCTCAAAACAATAATAGTTAACACACATTGGACACAGTTTATTATTCATTATATTATATAATAAAAAACTACTATTGCCACTTTCTTTGATTTCTACTTTTTTGTTGTACATAATATATCCTGCTTTTAACATGTTTGCACATGTCTTTCTTTTGCACAGTATTAAGTGATTCAATCCATGCCAGAAGTGACATGTACATTTCTCCTGTGTGAGATCAATACAGTCTATCTTATCTTTTCTTATAACATTTTCTTTATTGAGTTTATACCATGCTACAACACCCCTCACCTTTTCTGTCTCTAAGCTCTGTGGATATGACAAATCTTTGGACTATAGTGTCATGCATTTTAAAGTAAGTTATAGTATCTAATACAATTCTTTACAACTGCTTTTGTGACACATGTAACCCAAAAACATGCAAATTGTTTTAGATCCAGGAACTAAATGCATTGATTTTATTACATAGTTCCATTTATTGTGGTTACGTACCTGAGCTTTAGGACATGATTTTCCATTCTAAAGACAGTGTTGGTGGTTCTACTCAACTCTGCTCCGGTCTAAGGACGGCTGAATGACAGGCTGAACACGGCCCCACCATCCAACATTTGTATTATTTTTCTCTACAGGCAGAATAAATGAATTCACGCAGGTTTGTGTTTGCCTTCCTCAGAATGCAGTTTAATAACCAGGGATCGGCGTATTGCAAAATTATCACTTTGAGGTGTTTCCTCTTGGCACAAACTGATGAACAAAAGCAACAACAACAACATGTCCGTCTAAAGTCTATTTAGGAGATAATTGGAGAAAGGAGATTGGATTGTATTGCAGAATTAAACAAAAAAAGCCCATAAAAGCTCCTAAGGGCTTTATACTTGCAACACTACACAATACAAATAGCATCAATGTCTAATTTTATGTATTATACAGAATAACATATTTTAAATGTTTAGACACGACCATGAACAGATATTTGTGTTTCTGAATGTTGGCGATATGATTCCACATTTAAGTGAAGTATTAGTGAGTATTTGTCAGTTCGTTTTAAAAATCCTCCAAATGACACACTATCCACTTTATTGATCTATTCCCTGTGTTACAACATTGTTCCTCACTAAAAAGAGTTATTTTGAGCTCCATATCTACTATTAAAGGGGACTTCTGGCACAAACATGTAACTCCGCCCCTTCTGTCGAAAAGCCCCAGTCTCAGTCCTGTAATAGTATGATGTCATTGTACCACTATGACATCACGCTCAAACAAAAGTATTGCCCAGACTTTTGTTTTGGCAATTTCTCAGGTAAAGTGACGTTCTTTACAATCACGTTCATGTGTTTGCAGGTGATCATTTTCAAAGTGGGATAAAAACACAAAACAAAGTCTACCCCTC